AGGGTGTGGTTAGGAATCCATTATAAAGTAAAATTCAAAGCACTGAATACACAGAGCTACATTTTAAGAGAAGGGCACTGACTCAGTTTGTGTATAATAACCAAAGACATTGTATGGGAATGCCAATTATACTGAAATGTATGGATCTTTTAAAATGACTAGACATGTCTTGACTTGCCTGGAAAAATCATCCCAAGTATTACTTTTGACATTTTTAGGTGAAGTAACATGGAAGTCCCAGATGTTTGTTCTGCAGCCCTATTAGAAAAACATCTGTTCAGTCTACAGCATGGTTCTGCAAAAAAAGGTTTGTAAGTTTGTCTTTGATCAGATCAAATGTTAGCATTCCATTAGCAAGACCCCTGTATAAACATATTTCTGCTGATATTCAGAAGGTGGATGTTCAGATTTCGAGCCAATTCTCAATTAGTGACCAATTATATTCCTTATCAGGAGTGCAGTAACTACACTTACTAGTTGAAGCAGGGGTCTCAAACTCCCAGTCCGCAGCCCAATTCCAGCTGGAGCAATAGCACAATCTGACCCAGGACTCCAAGGGGGCTGCAGTGTGTAAGTGCATCTGTCCATTGCCATCCCCCAAGGCCCACAATTGCCACCTCCTCTGCCCCATGGTACCCCATTCCCGAGTATGTGGTTCCAGGGATCACCGGGAGAGTCTGGCACCACGCAGCAGCGGTTGTGTCACTGCCATGGCAGCAGGAACTGCGGGGAAGCAGAGCAAGTGCACTCGCCCAGTGCACTCCATTTTCCTGTCGTCTCCTGCTGCCACAGGGGGTGCAAAGGGGCATGTCTGCTGCTACCGCTGGCCCTCGGCCCTCGGCCCACCGGTGATCCCTAAAGCCACATCCTCAGGGATGGGATGCCATGGAGGGACAGGGAGGAGCGATGGGAAGAAGGTGAGGGGCTTTGGGGCTGGTAATGAGACAGCTGCCCCCAAGGGAATCAGAGACTGGATTACACAATTGTTCCGAGGGAACTGGCACTTGGGACCCCTGAGTTAATGATTTGTGATAATCCATTAACTTCATGAATTATACTTTTTCTCATAATTACCTATTATCATCCTATTGTATATTGAGACACAGACAGAGAGGTACATATACATACATATGGCCTTTAGACATTGACAAAATATATCAAAATTAGCCTGATCCCAGATCAAGTACATGTTTTGATTTAACATAAATATCTTGTTTCAAAATACTGTTTTACTTACCATGTTTAGTATTTGCTGCTTATAAACAAAATTCCTATGAAAGATAAATGGGAGTGAATTCAAAAACAAACATAACTGGTATTATTTTCACAGCTTTTAAGGCTACAGAATATTAACAGGCATGATTTCATAGCTACTTTTATAGTCATTAACCTGGAGACATATTCCATTTCTTTTTTTATTTGACAAGCAGCAGTATCATGTTCATCTTTTTTACATTTTAATGTAGATACAATTATTAGGATATCTGTCATATTACAATATTTAGTTTAACTTTTTCTTTTAAGATACATTAAAAAACATCAACTGCAAACGTGAAGGGGAGGGAGGGGAAAGCATGGTACCCAACCAAATTTCCACATTTCAGCAATACTTCACTCATTCTTTTAGTAAAGTTTTAAGAAATGTCATAATGACATGAGCTTGAAATATCTATAGGCATTTTCATTGACGCTCATGACGTGGCACTGGTGATGTTGTAAACAGCAGAAAAACAGGGGCTGCCAAGTGACCAGGTATGGAGGCACACGCCTGCTTCTTCCCACAGGAACACACCAAACAGTGACAGCAATGATCTTCTTACAACCACGCCTGCTGGATAGCAACATCATGCTACATAACTGTATTCATCTGCTGAGGCCTGGCTTCGCTCAATGTATTGTTTATCTATCAGAACTTCAATACACTTCTTGATCATGCTGATACTTGGGTTAAACCTAGCTCTTGATTGGCTAATTACCTGTTGAAGAAAATCATTTAATGTATCACTCATGAACTTTGCTTCCAAACAAATGCAATATATATTCTCTAAAGCAATAAAAAAACCCACACCCACACAAAAATGATTATTACATACTATATTTCTCAGAGTTCTGAGAGACAGATAACCTCCATCAGGTTTTAGTGTCAAAAGATACATAGTGATAGAAATGTAGCCGTGTTAGTCTGGTGTAGTTGAAACAAAATACAGGACTATGTAGCACTTTAAAGACTAACAAGATGGTTTACTAGATGATGAGTGGGTCTGGCCCACGAAAACACATAATCTAATACATACAAATTGTTTCTCTCGACTATATTTCTTTTATTGGTTGAGTTTACTTTTACTTATCAATGAACAGTCACAGCTAACAGTTTAAAGGCATATATATCTGAACACAAAAATAACAAAATATACCAAATGATAAACTCACTCTCCTGCACTCCACAACACAGGACAAATACAGACATTTGAAGAGAAAAAAAATGAGCCTTCAGTAATAAGTTCACTGTGATGACAGAGCCCATATTTTGAATGAAAAAACCTAAGAGACATTTTCTGTAATAGATGTCAGTCTGACAGTCTTAATTGTCCACATTTTATCCAATGATTAAGATTTCCATAACTGTATTTCACTTTTCATTCCTACAAAGCTAAGAGGGAATGAGCTAGATTCTGTACCTCCTTATGTATCATAACCAAATTACCTGATAACTTATAATCAATTACACTTGTGCTGCTCCAGCCTCTACTTTCAGAAACATGTATGTGATTTCAGACCTTAAGCCCCAGTTTTAAAAGTGACTTTAGCTCCTCAGTCCCTAAGCCCCAATTTCAAAAGGGATTTATGGTCCTAAGTCAGTAAGGCATTTTTGAAAAGTTTATTCTAAGTTTATTTGGAAGGTATGGCTGATCAGTGGAGAGTCATCAAAATACAGGACAACACTGTTGTCTCATCTTCACTGGGTGACATTCAATTTTTGTTTCAAATGAAGTGTAGGTTTTGCCTATAATGCTCTATATCAGGGCTGGGCAAAATACAGCCTATGGGCCAGATCAAGCCCACAAAGCTGCTGGATATGGTCCACTGGCACAGCAGGAACCTCAGGTAGGTTACCTATCTTATGAAAGACTGCGGCCCTTGAGCACTTACCAACTTCTTGATGTCATGGCCCCTATCCAAAATTATTGCCCACCCCAGCTCCAAAATTCCAGGACTGTTTTTCACCAACTACTTCCTTCCTTGTTCTATACTGCCAGAGTGGAGATCTGTAGAGACACCTGGGAAGGAGCTGCCAATTAGGTTGGTTTTTTTCCTGTAAGACTCCCTTGACTTGGTAATTCATTCCTTTTCTTGATACCAAATAGCCAAAAACTGGTCACCTAGGCATGCTGCCAGGCTTGTTGATTGGAATGGATTGTTGATTTATTTACTGTATTACTTGATTCTCATTGGATTATTTTAGTGTGTAGTGTAGGTGGCTTATCACATAGTAAAATTATTTGATTTTAAGTGATGGATGATCATCTAAACCCAGGTTTTCAAAAATGGCTAGAATTGAGGGTTTTTCAATTTTGAGGAGTTCCTACTAAGACACATTAAAGAGCCGATATTCAGAAGGTTGATGTTCAGATTTCAAGCCAAATATTCCAGTTCACTGGTGACGTGAAAATTCTGGCCATACAGGTTATGGATAGATGCTAATTCTGGGCTTCTTTGGGTTTTTTTTTGTTTGTTTGTTTGTTTTTTGAGTGGGGTAGAAGTGAAGGGAAGAATTAGTGGGCTGACATTTTCAAAGCAGTCTAGAGAATTTAGATACTTGTCTCCCATAAAAGTTGATATGTATGTTTACACTTAAACTATTTTTAAAACCTGAGCCATAGAGCAAAATGAAATCTAGCCTTATCATAAGAGCTCTGGGTTTATTAGGTATCACGGAGAACATTATACGTTGTTTTAATGCCTGTGACAACCTGATAACCACAACTTAAATAAAACTACTACATTCTGAATTAAAACAATTCTAGAAAAATTATTGACAGTCTCGTTAAAATATTAGTTCAGAGGTGTACTTGGCCTCAGTCTTGTGATTAAACACAGGACACAGGCATCAGTTTTTCATTTTGAGTATGTCTACACTACAGAGTTTTGCCGGAAAAACAACTGTTTTTCCGACAAAACTTGAGGAACATCCACACTGCAATTGCCTTCTTCCGCAAGAAAATAAGAACAGAGGGGTTTTTCTGGCATTGGTAAGCCTCATTCTACCAGGAAGAAGCCTTTTTCTGAAAGAGCTCTTTTGCAAAAAACCATGTGTGGATGGGGAAGAGGGAGTTCTTTTGGAAGAAGAGGAAAGAGAAAAAGCACAAGTGCCCTGGTGGCTATTCTGTCCATAGCAATCATAGCTTACATGCAAGAGAGCATCCATTTAGTCTGGATGCTCTCTTTCGAAAAAGCAGATCACTTTTGCAGTGATCTCTTCCGAAAAAAGTTTCTTCCAAAAGAAGCCTGAAGTCTAGATGTAGCCGTCAAACAAGGGTGGGGAACCTTTTTTGGTCTGGGGCCACTGACCCCACGAAAAAAATCAATCAGGAACTGCACACAAGTGAGAAGCAAAAATCAAATGAAAACCCCTCAATGACGTGGCCCCCGACTAAGGAGAAAGACACTTCCCACATTCCCCTCCTACTCTGGAGTCTTGGGGGACCGAGCTTAGTAGATTTTGTGTGTTCCGGCTCCACGATGCAGCAGCAGGGAGGCTAGAGTGCCAGTGCAGGCTCACCAATGCTGGGGGAGCGCTATGCCTTGGGGGCTGGATCCAGGTAAGCCAGAGGCTGGATGTGGCCCCCAGGCCTGAGGTTCCCCATCCCTGATTTAGACCATGGTAATGGACAGCATTTCCTCTTACCTCCTGAATAAGAGCATTATGTCGCAACACTTTACGTGCTTTCATGATACGGACTATAGCAGCTTGAAGGTACATTTTCCTGTCTTCATCTACAGCACTTCTGGTCTGCTCCATTTCCTGAAATATGGGGAAAATGGTGATGCTACAAACATACTAAGATCAATAAACATTCAGAAAACATCTACAATGCTTCTCACTTTGTTAAAAGAAAACAAATGTTTAACAATGAAAGCTAGTTAAATCTCAATTTTAGTTTCTAGGCAGGATTTTTATCTATGACTATAGCACACAATGCAAGTTGAAGTGGAGTTGGGGAATTCTAAAATAGCATAAAGCTCATTTTTATACTGGTTTGATCCCAATGAAGTTAATGTGCAATTCCAGTCTCTCTCTGCATAGATAAGGGAGCCTCAAGATTGCTGTTATTTACAATGATTGCTTGTGATACGCTATCCCTCAAACACCCTGGAACTCTCATATTCACTGCTGTGATGTAATGATGCTTTGTTAAAAGCTATGCCTTGGTGAAGTATCATTTTAAAAGTCTTGGTCTGCTAAACATTAATATCTTGTTAGATTGTGTTATCACTATATGTGACATTACGAAATTTTGCTCTGTGTGGGTTACTGAAATATGTTGTCAGGTGGGAACACTCACAACCCCCCATTCAGGAATAACAATGGGGTAGCTAGACAGTGGTTAATGGCTCAACAATACCCTTGAAGGAAAGAATCCCCAAAACAATATACAATGGAAAAGTCTCAGATGGAATATGTACACAACAGAAACTGCTTGACCAATAGAAATTGTCTGTTCCTCACATCACAGCAAAAGATCTTTCCAGCAAGCTGGAAGAACCTATAAAAGAGGGGAAGTGACATCATAACTTGGTCTCATACTCCCCACCACAGATCAACACTTGGAAGCTCATCTGGAGGACAAAGACACTGAGCTGGGAGTGGGTCAGCCCAGCCTGTGTATTGAGGATATATAACCTTCTTGTACCATTTGGCAGGGTGAGACACTATTGGATTCAAATCCGGTTCAGTTTGGAGAACTTCAGGAACAAAAATAAATTTGCAGGCTAAGTAATCTATATGATTACTATAGATCTATATCCCTGCTACTTACCACCAAAAATCTATCTTTCTGTAGTTAACAGATTTGTTTTAGGTAAAAAGGTTGTAAGGATATATTTTCCTTTGCAGAAGAAGCAAACTGAGTAAAAAACTTCCACTACTCAGGCTTCTGACCAGTCCAAGACAGGAGAGCTGGGGTGAATTGGCTTATCTATTGTTGAGGGTAGGAAAGCATTCATGCAGCTCAGCTGGGTGTGTCCCTGCCTGTGGATGTCTAAGTGTAGTACCTGCCAGGAACAGGAAGAGGGATATTTCACAATGTGGGAACAGAGGGCTCAGCAGTTCCCCAGTGCATGTTGTATCTTGGGGACCCCATCACACTGCTAACAGCTCTAAGCAGCCAAAAGCACAAAGTGCCCTGACCAAACATGCTTGTCCAGAAATGTGAACAGCAGGGAATGAAACTAGTGAAAAAGGATCTGTAGTCCATAACTGCCACCAACACATCCCTTTGGAGCTGGATATTTTAGCTTTATGAACAGATTGAACAGATATTGAAGCCTCATCTACATAAAACAGAATATAAAATTATAGACTCTCAGAATCCATATGTTGAAGGAAACCTTAGGAAGTCATTGGGTCCAACCACTTGCTTTGTCAATCCCAAATAAATTATCCCAGCAAGTCTCTGTCAAGCCGGGACTTAAAACTTCTAGGGATGGAGATTCTGCCACCTCCCTAGGTAACCTATTCCAGTGCTTCACTACCCTCCTAATGAAATAGTTTAGACCTAGCTGGCTCCTACTGCAACTTGAGACCGTTGCTTCTCATACTTTCATCTGTCACCACTGAAAACAGCCTCTCTCCATCCTCTCTGGAACCTCCTTCAGTTAGTTGAAGGCTGCTGTCAAATATATTATAATATGAATATTTGTAGCACTGGCTAGTGTTTTAAAATATGAAGTCCTCCTTATCCCTTTCTTAAACTAAATCCCTTGGAATAAGAATTCTCTAATTAGAAATTGTTTACAGCTTTCCCAAATCTACACAAATGGCCGATTATTCCCCAATTTATAGGGGCAGAAATGCTTACTGTTTCAGTCAATTAGAATCTGTAAATTAGGATTCATGTCATCGATGTTTCATATAATAAAGACATGTCCCTACCTGTAGGACCTTAATTTGTACAACCCAATAAGAGAATGTGTTCGGAAGGAGGGATCTCTCAGTGGTTTGAGCATTGGCCTGCTAAACCCAGGGTTGTGAGTTCAATCCTTGAGGGGGGCCATTTAGGGATCTGGGGCAAATCTATCAGGGATGGTACTTGGTCCTGCTGTGAGGGCTGGGGACTGGACTCCATGACCTCTCAAGGTCCCTTCCAGATCTATGAGATAGGTATTAGGAAGTGGGGAGGATATCTGAAAGAGATCAGTGCAGAAAAGCTCCAATAAACAGGTGTGTTTAGGTGTGTAAAGAGGAAGATGTTCTTGAAGGACGAAAGTAAAGTTGCTTCATGTCTGAGAAAAGGAATTTGAAAGCACAAGCAGGAATAAGTTAAAAATCTAATGGGATAAAAGTGGAAGGGTAGCTTCAGAAATGCTTGCCGATATAAAGGGGCACAAAAGCTAAAATGGATCTTGAATGTGAGGCCATAAGGCTTGGACTTCATGCAAAAGAATTAAAGATGAATACACGTAAAGATCCTGGTAGAGGGAAAAGCAATAAGCTATGGTCTCAGGATGTTATCTTCAGTAAAGGAAACAAGGAATGATACGTAATTCTATTTTCATTTTAATACGGATGTGCCTACACCTAGCTAAGTTTTAAGATTAACCACCTTAGATGACAGGTCTTAAGGGGGGGAATATGATAGAGGTCTATAAAATCATGACTGGTGTGGAAAAAGTGAATAACGAAAAGTTATTTAAATATTCCCACAATATAAGAACTAGGGGTCACCAAATGAAATTAATAGGCAGTAGGTTTAAAACAAACAGAAGGAAGTTTTACTTCACTCAGCACACAGTCAATCTGGGGGACTCCTTGCTAGAGGATGTGGTGAAGACTAGGACTTTAACAGGGTTCAAAAAAGAGCTAAATAGATTCATAGAAGTTAGGTCCATCAATGGCTATTAACCGGGAAGGGTAGGAACAGTGTTCCGAGCCTCTGTTTCTCTGAAAGCGGGGGACAGGGGAGGGATCACGTGAGGATTACCTGTTGTGTCCCGTCCCCCTGGGGCATCTGGTATTGGCCACTGTCAGCAGACAGGATACTGGGCTGGATGGACCATTGGCCTGACCCAGTATGACTGTGCTTATGTTCCTATGACAAAAAAACTAAATAATCCAACAGTCTCATTAAAGAATGATTTTATAAAAGATATTTAACAGAAACTCTGAAAGGTGGCAGGCTATGCCCAAACAAGAACCACATTAGTAGAGCTCTGCAAATTTGTGGGTATATGTTTTATTTCCACAGGTATCCATATCTGCAGATCATTTTTGAAGACGCTGATGCGAACACCAGTTGGGTGCAAACTTCTACCCCCCAAAAAGTTGCTGCTGTGTTAGCTGGGTGTACTTTAAACAAAAAGGGGTACAATAAATTCAGCTTTGAAAGGATTCTTTCATAGGACAGACTATTAGGCTAGATGACCACTGAACTGATCCAGTATGGACATTCTTATGTTATATTTACCATGGTAATGAGCACAGAGATAAACACGTATCAAAAATCCTGAATTTTTTAAAACAAAACCAAGCACAGAAAGAGAATAATTTCTAAAAGATTAAGAGGTATTAATTTGAATAGGTTTTTCCTATATATGCAAAGCTTCATATACCCTGAAGCAAATGGCAACTGAACAGGATCTGTAACAAAGTCAGTTGATTTTCTGATGCCGGTAGACTGGGATTTCTGCAACAGTTTCATTTCAATTTAAAAATGTATTTTAATAAAGAATATGATCAATATAAAAGTAAGTACTGGAGCACACACAGTAATTGCATGTTGTTTCTGTATTATCTGTTTCCAGTGAGTGTCTGATTTCTGAATTAACAGTGCAACAACATGGAACAAGTTATCAAGGGAAAAAGGGATGATGAAAGCTGTTAAGACTTTGGGCATTTTAGGAGGTGAGGGAATCAAACTGAAATTATGGAATAAACAGTAGCTGCACATTTCTACAACAATGATCAACTGCTAAGTAGCAGATAATACAAAAACGAACATTTTTGAGAGTTGATAAACTGAATTTATTTCAATATGTTAAGTTAGTGAAACCTATTATTTGCAGTTCTGTAGTTTTAAATAATGTCAAGAATTATTTTCACACATAAAACCTATTTAGTCTAACAATGACAGGCACTTCTGAAATCTTCAATGTAAGTCCATAATTATCTCCCTTTTCTTGTAGTAGTGAAGGTAAAGAAAGATTACGCTACAGGTTTCTAAGTTCTGATGTTTTAAGAAGGGTCAAATTGAGTAGTCTTTTCATGGCTTTGATTAGATTTGAATATGGTACTTAAAAAAAATTAAAAAAACCTCTCTAACGTAGTGGACGGGGAATGCTAAAATCATAGCTAAGTATACCCTCATGTGCACAACTTCTGATTTGATTATATACAAAACTCAAAAGAGTTTGGATTTCCCATTGTTTTGTGTTCTTTCACACAAAGCCACATAACCCTACCATTTATTATTATATACTGTATTCCAAGTAGTGGATGATATCTTGAATGAAGACAAATAAGCTAAGGGTATTAACAAACATGTTACAGTATTAGTCTGTATAACTATGTGTCAGTTATATGAATGAAAGAAATCTAGATAAACTTTAATAGCTGAGAAACAGAAAAATGTTAGCCTAGAATCCATACTCTAGTTCTAGGTTTTCAAAAGACAAAACATTCACAATTAATACATTTCTGTAATCCTGACTAGATAATAAGGACAGGTTTCATGAAGTGCCTCTTGTTTATTTATGACTGGTGAGTTTATAATCTGGCTCAACTCAATTTATGGATTGAGTAAAGATCAAAAAGACCTACAGACATAGCTAGCTTTTTTTAGCATATCTCTTTCTGCCATTGTAAATACGGATAACCACAGTGGCAACTGATGAACTCTGGAATATGTTAATAAGCAAGTTCTCTCAGCACAATCTAGGTGTATAGAATATGAGTCTGAAGAATAAGACGCCTTTTACATGGTACTAATGTGAGATTTCTAAAAATAGCTACAGCACTCAAATCAAGGTTTCAGGATCTGAAGTGCCATCCAAAATCCAAGCGGGACGCGGTATGAAGCATACTTTCAGAAGTCTTAGAAGAGCAAGACTCTGATGCAGAAACTACAGAAACTGAACCACCAAAAAAAGTCAATCTTCTGCTGGTTGCAATGACTCTGATGAGGAAAATAAACACGCTCCCTTTGGATTGTTAATGAGCAGAACCAGTCAGCATGAATACATGTCCTCTGGAAAGGTGGTTGAGGATGAAGGGACACATGAATTATTAGTGCATCTGGCACAAAATCTTATGTCCGCTACCAGGCCACGCCATTGTTGTAGAGGAGGCAGGCAGCATTGTCTCCTGCAAACTGTAACCAAATGTATTTTTCTGAGTGACCGGCTGAACAAGAAACAGAGTTACATTGTTTTATTTTGAATACTGTTATTTTAGTACATAATTTCCCATTTTTCAGTTCAGCTTTTGTGATAATGAGATTGTACTGCAGTACTGGTATTACGTAAAATGAAAGACTCGCTCATGGTTTTTTTTTTTTTTTTTTTTTTTTTTTTTTTTTAACAGTACAAGTATTTGTAAGAAAGAATAGAAAGTGAGCAGTGAGCACTTTAGATTCGATGTTAAAATTGATATCAATATTTGAGAAAATGCACACAACACCTAGAATATTTAAATGAAAGGTATTCTATTTCTGCTTAACAGCATGATCAATTTTTTAAATCACATGATAACCCTACTTCAGATTTAAGTCCATTTTAAATAATACTTATATAAAACTGTTGACTTTTAAAGATGTTGAAAAATACTCGCCTGTGGTGTGTCTTTCTGCATTGATGTAGTAATTTTAAATTTTGTTCGTTTACTGCTGAAGTTCATATTTAATGAAAAAGTAGATTCCGCCTCTATATCTTCCTGCAATAAACAAATATTTATGCATTTTAACACTCTCAAACATTGCCAAAAAAGCATAAGGAGCATATACATTTTTCAAGGACGGCTAACAATTTAAAAGAAAAATTAACACACCTGAATATGTCTCAAATATGCATATTCAGAGGTCTATTGCAACTTAATAAAGTTTTGGAATTCTAAACATCTGAATTATTCAACTTTTCTCATGCTACAGTTTATTTGGCTTGAAAAGTCAGTTTATTTAGAACCAACAAACAGAAAATACTATCATATATAAGCAATGTTAATGAAAATTTTTTTCTATTACTGGAACTAGTTTTAGTATTCCTAAAATAGAATAGAGAGGAGACTAGGATTTCCATTTCTCGGAAGAAGAATATTGGGACAATCACTGCATTTTCCATAATCATTATATATATATTTATGATTTGCTTGTATAACAAAGAAAAGAAGAACACACCTACAATATTTTTTATTGTTTTAGTGTACAAGTTGATCTATCTAGGGTTCTAACTCTAGCTCTTTCAAAAAACTTGTCTTTTATCCACTTTTTGCCTGATAGACATGAACATAATATAGTGGCCATACTGGGTCAGACCAAAGGTCCATCTAGTCCAGTATCTTGTCTTCTGATAGTGACCAATGCAGACAGAATGCACAGAACAGGTAATCCTCAGGTGATCCACTCCTTGTTGCACATTCCCAGCTTCTGGCAAACAGAAGCTAGGGAGGCAAACCCTACCGATGGTAGCAGTTCACTATGTTCTACAGACAATGACTCTCTAGACTAGCCAACAGGATGACATGTAGTAAGAGCACCTATCAAGTAATCAACCAATACCATCAATTCTTCAACCACAGGAAAATGGAACATTACTGGACTCCATAGAATATTGTGAAATACTACCAAGCCACTGACTGGCTCACATGACAATGTATTTGTAATGGCTTGCTTAGGTTACAATTTGAATTTCACATTCTACAAGAAACCTAGAGTATTAAAGAAATATTTTTGCCACTGAGGCATAGCGTAGGCAACTTATTGACAGACTAGTTTCAGCAGGCACAAGCAATACAGAATGTCAAAAGTTTAGCATTTTTGCACTTAAACTCTGAAGTATAAATCAGAACAAAAATACTACCTAAGCCAAATAGCTACTATAAAGAAAATTATCAGAAACAACCAGTGAATCTATTACCAAAGTGGCATGGGTATGGGATGGAGAGTTAGTTTCCCATCTTTTTACTGGAACAGAAAGGAAGCATGGTATACAACGTACATTGTGCTTTGCCATTTCTTTCCTAGCTGCTGTGTGGTTCAGATTAGGAATGTAACAGTGTAGTCAATTAATTGAAAAGCAAAAGCTTATTTGTTAACTAGCCAATTATCCCGTCATAAGACAGGATTTTCAGGTCTCTCCTCCATGTCTGTCTTCTCTCCCAGAGCTGCATGGGGACCGCAGCGCCCAAACGGCCCCGTGCCGCTTGCTCCCCTGTGGCGGCCCGGCTGAGCAGCACAGAAGTCAGCCAAGTGCCACGGCGGGAGAAGAACATGACTCAGGAAACAGCGCCACCCAGAGGGAACAGCCAGCATTTCAGTGTTACAGAGTCACAGACATTGGGCTACTATATATATGATGTTATAGACTGCACACATTTCCCCCGCCCCCTTGTCAGTAAATATTTTAGCAGGCTGGTCAGCAGCCCGGCTCAGTTCTGGCTCGCACCTGTACTGGGACCTACTCCTGCCCCCAACTGTACAGGGGCTGCTGCCACCCAGCGCTGCTGCCTCTGTATCAGACATGAACAGGCAACTGATCTGCACACAGACAAGCAGCCAGTCCGCGAGGGGAGCTGGTTTTTAAACTGGTTCCCTATGCGCACCAGCTTCCCGCCTATACCCCGCACTGCTGCCTCTGATACAGCGGCAGTAGCATGGAGTGGCAGTGGGGCTAGAGTAACTTGGCTGCTGGCCCCACCCCCGGGGACTATAGAATAGACGAGTAACTGATAAGAATTCATGAGGTTAATTTACTATTCAATTAACTGATATTTAACATCCCTAGTTCAGATATCTGTAAATGACTTGCAAAACAAAAGTACATTTCACTGTTCCAGCATCCTGGAATTCACTGACTTGTGTAACAAGTAAGCAAGCTGATAGAGAATGGTTAAGCTTTCTCATTGTTTGATGGCATGTAAGGAAGATAATTAGTATAGATAAACCTGTAGCTAAAGGACACGCATATTCAAAAGTAAATATACCTAGAGGAAAAATCACAAGGCTATTGGATGTATTCCCCCTCTAGTCAGAATTGATTCTCATCCAGTCCCTATAAGAGCAGAGCATAATACCCTGACAGAAGACTTATCAGAGAGTAAACATAGTATTTCCCTCATACGCACTACTCTTCTTTGCAAGCCTTTGGTGTTTTTAAACACATTTTTTCCCCATGAAACGTTTTATTCTAAGACTTTTAAAGCCTCTACAAAAAGGAAGATTTAATATTAAAAATATAATTAATTAATACAAATAAACCTCCAGTTAAACTAATCTCCATGGGGCAGGGGCAGGTGGGGAAATTACGTTTTATGTTTGTGTGAACCCAGTATGGTGGGATATTGATTGGGCATCTTGAGAAATATTAAAACAAATACAAATAACCATTTTTAGTAGATGAAATTGACTTGTTTAGTTATCTATTCTATTATGCAGAGTATAATGCATTAATAGAATTTTAAAAGAAAGCTAACATTTCTCTAATAGCTTACACTGAAAAATAAAGTCATTTAAAACAAAACTCAAAAGCAACAATAGTTGTTTAAATGTCAACTTTTCTAGAACCACTAGGGGCCTGCGCCCCCTCCTCACTATGCTTGCCAACCCTTCTCTGTCTGACACAGCCTCTCCTCCTGCCCATGCTGCAGCAGGAGGGAGGCCACCTCCAGTCCTTTCTGCAGTCAGATGGGGCCACCCCCGGGATTGGGGCCAGGGACAGGATGCTGCGGTCAGATGGGGGCTGGGCCCCAATTGGGGCCTTGTTGGCCAGGCTTCATTTTAAATAAAGTAAAATATTATGGCCAACACAAAAAGGTTTCAACATTGTCTTTATTTATGGCAGAGGTGGGGAGCCTTTTTTTGGGTCAGGTGTCACTGATCCACAAAAAAAATCAGCTTGGGACCAAACAAGTGAGAAGCGAAAAAAGCCCCTTCAAAACCCCCCCAACTCTCTCTGATGGGCCTCCAACTGAAACCTCTCACTCTCCTGGTGGGGGTGGGGAGGAAAGAGGTTCAAAGCCTCAGGCCGGATTAACTCTTCTGGGAATTTTAGGGTTAGTGGATTTTGTGGGCCCCCTAGGTTCTGGGGTGAGGCAAAAAATCAGGGGTTCAGTGTGAGCAACAGGGCTACCAGTGATTTGGATAGGGATGGGGGTTCAGGATCTAGGGTGCAGGTGGAGCTGAGGGTATGAGGGCTGGGTGGGAGGTAGGGTATCTGTCTGGAAGGGAGGGTTCAGGAGCAGGCTGGGGGCAGGGTGTCCGGCCAGAGGGAGGGTACAGGAACAGGCTGTGAGGTCTTGGTGGGGGGAGAGGAGAGGGTGAGTGAGGGGGCTAGGAGTGCAGGGTCTCGGCAGAGGGGAGGAGCGTGGGGACTGGGGGGTGCAGGGCAGGAGTAGAAGCAGGATGGGAGTAGGTGTCTGGCCAGGAGGGAGGGGGCAGGAGCAGGGTCTTGGCAGGAGAGTGAGCAAGGGAGCTAGGAGTCCAGGGTCTGGGAACCAGCAGGTGGGGGGCACGCACTTGTCTTCAGGCCCTGCACTGATCCCAGGCTCGGTTTACTGATGCTCCCATTAGCTGGAACCTGGCCAACAGGAGTGCAGGGAAAGCCCCCAGACAGCGCACTGGTGCGCTGCTGTTCCCGCAGCCAAGGGTGGAGTGCTTTTCCCCTGCACAGCGAGGCTCGGGGCTCTCTCTCCACACACCCCCCCAGCAGGAAGCCAGCGATGGTACTCCAACTGCACGGGAGAGGAGCAAGGGCAAAGCTGCAGCACCAGACAAAGGGGGTCTGGGATGCTCAGGTCAGTGCTACGGGGCACCTCCTCACCTGCCTTGCAGAAGCTCCGCTCGCTGCTGCAGCCCCACACATGCTTGGGTGGGAGGAAGCCAGTCAGGGCTTGGATCTCACCGGGATGGCTCAGCACTCAGCTCAGGATGCGGCAGAGGATGGGGCCGCAGGCGGCCGGGGATGCCTCGCCCTATGCCTGGTGCTTCTCCTGAGTCTGCTGCCATGTGCGCCAAGAACAACAGTGGAGCAAGCAAGAGGCCCTGAAGCAAGTTGTGGCACCCTGGGGCATGGGAGCCTGCCTCCATTGCCAGTGCAAATGGGCTGTGCCCCAGGCCTCGCACCAGCTGAAGCACCCCTTGGACTGGGGGTCAGGCCACCCAAAAGGCTGCAGACAGAGCTCAGCGAGCAGGACACTTGGGAGGTGGAATCTGCCCAGGTTGGGCTGCCAGAAGGCTTTGCTGGTCCCCAAAAGCTATCTGGGGATAGGGAGCCCATGCGAGGGCGGAGCCTGTGGACACAGATTATGTATGGCATCATTCTATAATCCTGCAGGACATTTTATTTTATACCTATAGACACACACAAATGGATTTCATTATTTTCTGTAATTGCTCTCCACACTAGACTCAGCTCCTATCCAGTCCCCAGTAAACATTTCAGCTTGACATTAGCTTTTCAGCTACTCATCCAACCCAAACTCATTTCTTGATACTTCCAGGCACATACCTTAAACCCAACACCCAATATTTCCTTGTGATCTCCCTCCCAATTTCCTTATATACTTTCTTGGCAAACATCTTCACCAGCGAGCATCCTTGTCAGATTTCACAACAGTATTGGATCCACTGCTCCCTTCTTGCAAACCACATGAATAACCTTCACTCACACACTGCTGGGGTAGATGGTACAATCACTCTCTCTGGAAGGTCTGGAAATACTACTGATGGTAACATTTCTTGTGTAAAAGCATTTACAGAGTGATTATCACTATAACAGCTGAATCCCACAAAGCTCACAGCTCTAGTACGAAGTAAGGAAAAAAATCTCTCCCAGCAACCGTAAAATGAATGCAAGAGACTTAACCAAGATCACAGAAATCTCTGTGGCAGAGCCAGACACTGAACGTAAATAAATCTCCTGTTTCCCAGTACAATCCTTTCACTCTAAGTCTACCCAGATATTATTTCTTGAAAACTGTTTGGGTGCTATAAAATTGTGGAATTACTCTAAGTTGACAAAATGCCTCAGAGTCCAAGGTAGACTGATCCCCTTTCAGAAATCCTCCCATCCCCGTAAGTTGACCAGGAAGGAAGGAAATGGTTACCTGTTGCTTCTCTTGGTGCAAAGACTGAACAAGTGGTTTGCTCATAGTATCTGCTCAGTGTCACCAGTCCAGGACACTAACTCATCTTTACTCTAAAATTAGCTTGGCTCTGGTGGACCTATGCTTACAGAGTTTTCCCCTCATTGTTACTGCCTCTGAAGCCATAAAGAAAAAGTTTTGCATCCAGAAGGGGCTGAACAAAAAGAGATAATACAGCCTCAACTTTATTACCTTTTTAACAGACCTTGCTGCTGTAATGCTAGTGTGAGGAATTTGGATAGCAAATATGTCTATCCTCTAGGGATGTTTAATTTAGTTTAATCAACTAACTGACTAATCAATTAGTGGGTACGCAGGGAAGCCACAGAGGGGTTAGCTCCCACCCCAGGAACTAACCCTGCTGCAGCTCTGCCTTTTAAATGTATTAAGAGTCAGCAGGCTTCCGCCAGGCTCTTCTTCTTCTCCCCCTCCTCCCGCCAGCCTTTTAAGTGCTGTGCTTCTAATTTTTAAATGTATTAAGAGCCAGTAGGCTCTAAATACATTTAAAAAGCAGTGGCACAGTATCTGGGACTGGGTGAAAGCTGGGCATCAGCTGATTTCCAGCTTGCACTCAGTCCCAGATACCTTCCCCACCCCCCGCAAAGATGGTGCTGGGGAAACCAGCTTTTAAGCCAGCTCCCCCCAACACTGGCTCCTGCTCCCTCCCCTTTGCGGCCTCTTATAGAGGCAGCAAGAGAGGGCAAGCGACTAATCAAGGGACTAGTTGACTAGTCGCTTACATCCCCACTATCCTCTCCACTGGTTAATTCCATCCAGAAGTCGCTATTCATGCCTTCCCCAGAAGAATCTGAGAACAGGAACAGTAATCTGGATCTATGTGAGTGGTAAACATCTTTCAAAAATGAAATAGAACTCATGGGAAGACAGAAACAAATCACAACTGGAAACGTCACAATTTCTGTGTGACATTACAACTTACCTTGTCTAAGTCATGGTTGATCATTTTGACATCAAGTAATGATTTTATGGTTTTTGTCAGTTCCTTCTCATTCATCTGTGTGCTATCCTGAAGTTCTTTATAACTGACAGTTTCACTGTTGTTGAAGGCAAGCAGTACTGCCATTTGGTATGTTGTAACCATGGCTACATAAGGTTTACACAAATAGTTCATTTTTACTTCACCTGTAATAAATAATAATAGTAGTTTCATAAACATGCGCATGCAGGTCAGAGATTTGCACTTGTATAAATGGCTGTATGGGTGTTTATCTAGCTGCGTGGGGCTGCAAAACCTATACATATAATCATTTTTGTATTTGGGTATGCAAACAGGAGGGCTTTTAAGGTAAAAATTCAGATGAAGAATATATGCTACAGATATGCAACATATTTTAGAGATTAAGTGAAGACTGCTAATACTGAACTTGGACATAGCAGAATTTCATTTAAAGTAACGAATACAGTAAAGGCAAAATAGTTTCAAGTATATTACATGTAAAAAATGGAATTAACATTGGATTTCATTAAAGAAGCTCAGTGGAAAAATAATTCTCTATAATGGGAGGTGTCTGAATATTGTAAGTTTCTTTATGTCTCCCTTGGAAACAAAAAAGCACGGAGACAGCTACCTGAAAACTTGTTGGAGGGGTGGAAGTAGATTAATGGGAATCCTCAGTTATGTCAGTTCATGTATCTGAATATTCAATGCACTGCTGTGTGGTACGCTGACTATTATTCACCTTTATAAAATATGCTGTGGTGTTCAAATATTAAGGACTCAGTTTACTGAATTATTTGTAATATAGGTGAATAACTGAAAATAAAACCATGATTTAATTAATGCTACAAATGAAAGCAGTATAATATACATGATTTAGGAATGAGCATGGTAAAAAGTAAATCATTATTGTTATTGCTCACTTAACTAATAGATAATGAGTCTGATTTTTTAATGGCTTCCTTCTGCTTCTGTATCACAGAGCTGAACGTCACGTCAAACTGGTCTCCATTAAAACTTGTGTACTCAAGTTAAGGTAAAAGGACATTCAAAAAGTCAAGTAGTGTAGAGCACTTAACTGGTTGAATGTCAGCTCAATGGTTAATAACCCAGAAGTTGTGCCATGGTTTTTTAAAGATTATAGTGTACTCTAATATGTTTTTTACCAATAACTGGATGTAATTTATTTAATACAGAAATACTGTTTGAGGTAAAAGCAAAACAATGTTCATTTACCTTTGAATGTAAAATGCAACAAATGGCTTTATAAAAACTTAGTTCCAAATTGGAAAGGAGTTTAGCTATATGTAAAACAGGAAAGTATTTATTGCCTAGTGGTACGTGAAGCATGTGGTAGTTTTAAAGTTTTCAATACACCAGAAATATGCATTTATTTTACCTGTACAAAGATAATGTAACCAAGTAAGCTTCCTCCCACTGAAGTGCTGACTGTAAAATAATTCAAACTGTAAAACAAAAGTAATCTTCAGTTAAATCACTTAACTCCTTTATAGCCTTAATAATTTACTATCACATTCCCACCACAGTTAATAAAGAAATAGTAATTGAATATTCATCATTTTCTACTTAAGCATTTACATAACAAACATAAGAACATAAGAATGGCCGTACTAGGTCAGTATTTAAAATACTATACTATATTTCTTCACATGCTCACAAAATGTAAGCTGAACAATTTGAGATTTTGCTTTTGTCCAAAATGCCTTAGCTAAACATTTAAACCTCCATATCATAATTTGAAACCTAAGAATTTAGGGACTATGTCAAAGAAATTATATTAATTACTACTACTGTAAGCTCAGTATTGTTCACATTCAAGTGTTGTCAACATTGACCCCAAAAGGATAATTGATAAAATTGTGTATAATAATTATAATATTGTACTATTAGAATAGTATTAATTAGGATACTAATAGCATATTACTACTATTACTGTTAAAGTCTCTATCACATACGTTACATTTGTAACCTTTCCTATAATGCAATCATCATCCTTTATTCTATTTTTGATTCACTGTTTCAATCAAACTAAAACACACATTTCATTTGTGTTTAGATGTAACTTAGTTACATCTACAGGTTTTGATGTATGTTGTAATTAAAAGCAAATCATGCTTAATTACATAGTGTGTACACACAGACACACACACGGTTCTGGACAAATATTGAAAACATCTAGATTAACATATTTGAGAACAAATTACATCAATAAAGTAATTCAAAAGCTAATTCAGGAAATGTAACATAATATGTATGAACGTGACTGCTTACTCATAATATTCATCATCTTATAAACTGCATTTATATTTTAAATTACACAGGTATGAACATTTGGATAAACAAACATTTTCAGACACAAAATTAAGAGGTCTGGAAATTCAGACAAACAAGCAAGTTTCAAACAATTAGTTTATTTTTCCATGACATTTATTCTAATTTCAAAAATTTCTTATACACTATAAACATGTACTATTTCCTCCACACACATTTAGTTTAATAAATTATTAAAGAAAGGGGATGCTTAAAGAAAAAAGACCTAAAAAAGCAGCTTATTTAATTCCTCAACCGTGGAAGCATAGAGAGCATAGCCTGCTAAAAGTCGAGGATTACAAAAGAAGAAAATGCTCAGAAGAAGAATTATTTTCTCTTAATGATTTCTCTGAAGCTGTTTTGTGCTTATTTATAGATTTTATATCTTCCTAAAGTTCAATTACTTATAAGATTTTACTGACTAAGTCAAAAGCAAAATGAACCACATATTGAGTAACACAACTCTTTAAATGGCACAATAAAGTCAGAAATGTAAGTAAAAGCTGTAGCTAACATTTAACTCTGCACATCTGCAAGAAAAAAAAAAAGAGGCAATCTAGTAGATACAAGGCCATCAGATAATACCCTCATTATTATTCACAATAGGGGACCAGTGAGACAGAGACATACTATCCTTAAAAAAAGCAAACATTGTCCTTTAAAAGCATCAAAAGTGAACCAAACTCCCCTTTGTTATTCCACTGGCAAGTCCATATGGATCATATTGTATCATTTTGCAAATGCTTAAAAATTAAATTTCAAAATCAGTCAGAAATAAAGTCACAATATTAATTTTCAAAACACAGGAATGTCACAATTTTCCCTGAGACATTATAAAGGAATAGCAAAATCTGAGCACTGTCTGTATTTCTGAATAATATTCAAATATAACTAAAGCCTAATGCCTCCCAAAATAGAAACAGTCTTCAAAGTGCCTATTAGTCCTTTTGGATTAAATATGACTAACATGTTTAAGTTATACACTATTCAATGTTATAAAAATAATTGGTCCTAACTCTTAATATAGACTACTCTTTGCCCCTGGAAAGCAGAAACACTTTGGAATCCAATTTCCTCTCTTCTTCACTACAATGCATATCATCACAACATATGCTGCTATGATGTTTTACTGTACATGTGCTTATTGTTGATGAACCAACAAAAGCACTATGTAAGCAGAAATGAGTGCCTTTTGTGGGTTACCAAACCCATAAAAGGGCTTCATCTCTTTCTTGCAGGCTAACAAACTGAGCAGAACTAAAGTCACCAAGTGCAGATCATGCTACCACACGCTCTTCACCCCAGTTTTAACTCTATGGAAGCAGAGTTGAAGTGCAAGCAATTTTCACTATTTTGATGTCTGTAGAGAGTAATAGGATTTCAAGCCTTCCATAACTCAATTATCAAGATTTAAATTGCCAAGATTATTAAAAATGAGTAGTGACTGTGGGTGTCTCCATTTGTAGATGACCTACCTGAACCTTGAAGGTGTCGGACTTCATAAAATACTGAGCACCCAACACTTCGAAAGTAATCTCCTTCAAAGCACATCAAACTAGACACCGAAAACCTGAAGCACTTACAGTAATTACTCTTGAAAAATCATAGGCAATCTTCAAAGCAATAGTAATCTCGTTCATTGTTTTCTCCTTTATGTACTTTTTACACACAAATTTTAGTACTTGTGATCGGTGTAACACTCGGAGCCCTGGACACTGATTTTTTGTGAAACTATTTTAAGACCTTTAAGTATCAACTTATCATGGTCATATAACAAAGCCACACAAACACACACTCTTTTTCTCTAAAAGACAAGAGGCCTTCTGCACGGGGAACATGTTTTTAATATATTCTTAATACAATGGGACAATTATGTTTCTCACCTGTAAACTGGTCTTCTCTTATATATACATACACACACAATATGCCAATCTTGGCATTTCTGGGAAGTCTCAAGCATGGCTCTTGTAACTGAGGTGGCTCTCTAGAAGATTCTTGGAATCCAGTTCCCAGTCTAAATAGGCAATGGGTACTTCATATGCTTAAGCATCCATGTCTAACAGTGATTTCCTATCAACAACAAACAGTAACTTTCAGAAGGGAACAAAGGATTGGTGGATTGGTATATATGAGAAAACCAATTTATAGGTAAGGAACAAATTGTCCCATTCTCACACAATATGCAATCCACCAGTCCTGGCACTGCTGGGAATTAGCAAGCTGTAAAGAAAAGAATGAGAGGAACCTAGGAAGGAAAGGAAATAACTTGATTGACATGGGGGTGGGGAACTTAATTCATGCTGATTTCATACTCCAGAATAGTTCACAGGACCACTTTGGTAAGGAATGGAGTGCAGGAGAGGTTCCTTAACAGACAACTTCAAATTCACTTTTCCTGTAAGCTAAAGGTAACTGCAACAAGAAAAGTTAGTTTTATGCTGTGGAAAGCGTTAGGCAGTTCCTCAAAGGGTCACGTGAAAGCTGCAAAACCAATTTCCAACCATGTACAGGTAAGCACAAAGGTAGTCCGCTCCTTTAGATTGCACAAAGAAATCTGGAAATGCATGGGTGAAACTTCAGTGAACTTTCCCTTAGAGAGCGTCTGAGCTCCTGTTGCCACCATCTAAACCTGAAATTTAGCTTGAACCTTTTCTCAAAAACCAATAAACATAAAGACAGTCCCCTGACTAAGCTAAAACCCCAGGGGTACATGCCAGGCTGAAAATATAACCAGATATATTCTTACATTTCCTAAGTCTTAGTTCTAATATTTTACCTACTTTCCGGATACTGCCAGGCAAAAGTCCAGAAGTCTCAGCCTTTCATTTCCCAGCTGAAAGGGACAACAATCTCAGGTTCAGGACCTGAGAGGTTTGGTTGGACCCCATGATCAGGATGTTCATTGGCTGTGTCAGAATTTAAGTATCTTCAAGGGACTTTTTGAGACAGACTAACGGTATTTCTTGGGACAGTTTGTCCCAATCTGACTTCTCTTGGCAAAAGTGTTTAATAAAGACAGAGAAGGAACGTGTAAGAGAGCATGCTTGACCATGTTATGGAGAAGACGTCTGTTTTCCCAACTGCCTTCTCCCAGTGGCTGAAGCAATACACGTAAGCAGTGCAGTTATAGGATGCAAATAAAGTATATTTTGGGGAAGTTCCAGAGCAATAAATTCTTGAAAAAAAAAAAACCTGTCCGCCTGTTCATCCATTAGTCCAGATACCGAGACACTCCCACACACAGTTGATCTTTTGTAGTCTTCCTTTAGGATCTTGATCAAGTGCCTTTCTTCAGAAGCTGGGTGGCCTTGTCTGATAGTGAAGGTAATGGCTGTCTAGTTTCAGCAATCCACAAGGACAATTCTTGTTCCTAGTGTCACCGAATTCCAATCAGCTGATACTGTATGGACCCTCCTTCTTGCACATGGTACGGGAGGAAGCCCACATGACTACTCAGCCCCTCTCAGCTTGCATTCACGAAGATTGTGATCACACCAGAAACAGGCTTTGCTTGGAACAAGCTCTTGGGAGAAGAGTCAATTACCTAAAGGATGGAATTACTTGTGTTGGGCATGGGTATGGTCAATCTTTAACAGTCCCATATAAAAACAGAGCCTGCAGAGGAGAAGAACGGCTTGATAGGATACCAGAATGCATAGAAGAAATAAAATCTGACAAATGGTTATACCAGGTTGGTCTGAATCCTCTTTGTTGGCGGGATTTGACTGAATCCTTTAGTTCGTGAGACCTCTGACCTTGACATCAATGTGAGCTTTAACGCCTAGCAGGACCATTTCCCAGAAAAACAAGAAAGCTCTAGCAGTGCACACCAAACTCCTGATCTGGAAGAAGAGAGAGCACTTGTCCATAAGCATGCTGGAAGAAAGTTGGCGATTTTATAAGAAGATTTTTTCAAGCTATGGAAAACAATCATCCCTCCATCCCGACTCAAGCTGGCACGATTATCAGAATATACAAAATAATGTACTAACAATATAAGTTTCTCAACAGCAAAACAAATGAATATGGAATGAGCAATGTAGACTGAAATAAAAAAGGTAAACTTTAATGTATTCCTTCGAATGAATCCAGTAAGGAGACAAGTTTAATCTAGTAGCCCTTGTTGACAGTCACA